TTGACTTTATGCTTCCTCAAGCCCAAAATCTTTCATTTATTTACTTTTTCCAGTGCTGGGGATTGAACCCAGGGCCTTCACACTGAGCCACATCCCAGCTCTTTTATTTTTTATTTCAAGGTAATAACTAAGTCACTAGGTCACTCAGGCTGGGCTCGAACTTGCACTCCTTCTGCCTCAGATTCCCACAGTGCTGAGGTTACAGTGTGCGCCACCATTTCTGAACCTCAAGCCCCAAATCCTGGAATCTTGGACCACTTCTCTTGCCCACATCAGCCCACTGGCAAACCTCAGAGTCATCAAGATTGAAAGCACAGGCGCAGCCATTCCCCAAAGGACACGGGAATGCCTGGGTTCCCAGGCTCACACCTTTTTGGATTTCCTTTTATTCTTGATTGACACATAATAAAGGCACATGTTCATGAGCTGCAACAGGATGTCTCAGTGCATACGTGCATCGGCTGTTGATCAAATCAGGGTCATTAGAATGTCCATTGCTTTTGATATTTATCATTTCTCCTTAGTACTTCAAACCTGCTCTTCAAGTGATTTTGAAATATACAGTACATAACTGTTAATTGAAATCAGCCTGTGTAGAGTAATAAACAGACCTTATCCCTCTTATCCAACTCTAGCTTAGTTCCTGTAACCAGCTCCCCGACCCACCGCCCCGTGACCACGATCCTGCCCTCGAGTTCTAAAAGATCCAGCCTCATAGATTTCACCATGAATGAGATCACACACCTTTAAACATGTAGACTCTGTCACCCTCTGTCTGATCTTTAACAACGCGATCTTTCAGTCCCACACGTGATTATTCCACCTTCCCGGTATTTTTCATTAGACTGTGCTTTTGATTTGATGCCAGACCCTGTAAAGGCCCGCAGAGCCTTACAGGGGTGGCTGTGGCTGTGCCCTGCAGGCCTGGCTGTGTCCTGAACGTTCCTCAGGACTGCCGTGCAGCCCTGGGCCCACTCTCTCTCAGCCTCCAGTATGCTGTGTGCCAGCCTCACCTCCTAAACTGCCCTACCGAGGGCTCTGAGGCTTCCGGGTCACCTCCATCCCCTACAGCCCTCAGGTCCTTCTGGGCCTCATCAGTGCTTCGCACAGGATTCAGGGGTCAGCACCCCAAGCAAATCTGTCTTTGCGGCATATGCCCCTGGATGTGCTCCTGGCCTTTGGCTCAGAGGATGGCACAGAGTCCTTCTGGGCGTCCATTGGAAGGGTAATGAAAGTCGTCCCAGTGATACAGTTCCTGCCCATTCCTAGGGTTTTCTTGCTCCGGAAAGTTTCTTACCCAGGCACCAGTTATCTGATGACTTCAAGGCGTTTGAAGTTTATTTGTCCCTATGTTCTCAGCTAAGGATTGCAGGCCCTGCCTTCTAGCCAGCCTGGGAGGTTCTGACCTTGAGCCCAGTCAGAGTCTCTTCCAGATTGTCAAGTTGGGAGCTGGTTTGCTGTCTCTATGGACAGGACATTGTCTCCATTCCAAAGACCTCTGCAAAACGTGCTTTGGCAGCGAAGCAGCAAACTGGCCAAAATAAGGCGATCTGGGGGGGCTGGGTCCCCCTGCCCAAGCAAGTGGGTCTTTTCTCATCAGTAGGTGACACCTCCCTGACCTTCCAGATAGAAGCTAGAAAGGGTTGGGACCAGCATATTCCTAGAGATGTCTTCTTATTTACAAACTTTTCTGTGTTAAAAAAAAAAAATGTGCTCAGTAGCTGTATGCGCATCTGACATTTTTCTCACTGCAGAGCCACAGGTTGGCTTTTATTCCTTAGCTCCAGGTCCTTGGATGATGGATGAATCAGACTTTCCCACCACACAGCCGTCAGTGTGTCACACCACAAGATGGCTGAGCCTTACCTACGGAAGGGAATCATTGATAAACTGCATCTATACAATGTGTGCTCACCATGTGTGCTCTTCAGGAAAAGCCAAGCTACAGATTGGCTGAAAAAAATGTCTATGGACATATGTGCTACCCAGAATAAGTAGAGAACTTCAAGCAGCTCAATAAGACAACTCATTTTTCAAATAGGTAGAGAAGACTTAAACAGGTCATAAAAATATAGTATTTGTAGAAATGCACTCAAGATCATCAGCTTCACAAATGCTAATGAAACCAAAAGAATCCTCAAAATTAAGAAGAGACATAGTACCAAGTATGAGCAAGGACAGGAGGAACCGCCACCCTCCTCCAGAGCTGGTGGGACCATGAAACATTAGCACTACTTTGGGAAACTGCAAAATAGTTAAAAAAAAAAAAAATTGTATATATGCTAGATAATAGTGTATATGCTAGAAATTGAACCCCTAGATATTTACCCAAAAGAAATTAAAGCTCACATACCCACATACTTGTTCATTGTTTCACTGGTAATATACAAAACTTGGAAGTAGGATTAGACACATGCAATTTGTGGAGGACCACCTAGGCGACTTTCCTTAAGGGAGGAGCAAATGCCTCCATTTTGCCTGAGGTGACCCTATTTCCATGTATTGATATGCACAGAGCTGGCTAGGACTTTTCCTTATCCCTTCAATTGGCTTTAAGCATGTGTATAGGTCTGCCTGAGGTGCTGATGGTGGTCTTTGAAGACAGCAGGCGTGTCTCCCTGGACCTCCCTTGTTCCCACGTGTGAGCCAGGATGAGGCGGGATGTGTGAGCCCGTGCTCCACGCTGTTGGCTGGGATCGAGCGGCTGGATAGAGGCTACGACTTCCTGGGGCTTGAAAGATTACACATCAGAGCTAAACACCCCAAAATGTTAGATACTATCTCAATTGTGTTGTGCAGGTTACTCTTTCTGCAGATCCTTCTCTCTGCATTTGCAGAGGTGATTTCAGACCTCCTACCTAGCCCAGTTCACGGCACTCACATACTTCCCACCATTCTCACAGTCACTCATCCTCAAGCCACTCCCTTCTTCACAAATGAATAAAATCTGGTTTTGGTCCTGAGTATAGGCCTTTGTTCCAGATGGCTATCACTGTGGCTGGACTTAGGACCCCTTGACTCCCCATAACTACAGATATGCCCTGGTGTCCTTATTCTCGCCATGGGTTGTACCGGAAGTGGTAGGTTGGAATTGACTCACTAGGATTCCAATAACTTTTCATGGGATTGCAAATACAAACTTCCTGGGCCGAGGTGAGGACTGGGAAGGGCTCTCTACAGGGGCTAATTCATTTAAAAGTACTACTCAATAATGAGAAGGGATTGGCTTGAAATACACGCAACAGTCTGGATTTCCTCTCAGTACCTCTCGTCCAGGGACACCCCTCTGCTTCGTGTCAGTGCTCAGAGTTCAGCTCTCTTGTGCCCCACTGTGAGCCCCAGTGATGGTTACCCCCAAGTAAAGCCAACCTTGCCATCTCCTGCTGGTACGAGTAATTTTTAACAGTGCAGGATTCCACTTAAGTGACGTTCCACACAGGAAAAATGACTCTATGAAGACAGACCTCTGAAACGTGCTACTTTCTACAGCAGCTCCAGAAGTCCTCTATTGTGAGGGTCATGGCCCCTGTGTCATGAATCGATTCAAGACTTTTCCCTTTCATGATCATTTTGAGTTTGGGAAGAGCCAGAAGCTGCACAGTGCCAGATCTGGTGAATAATGTGGACAAAGGCACAGCGTCATGTGTTGGTAAGCCTGCCTTCCCGTCGGATGATGCTCAGAGCAGCATCCACATGCTTGATCACAAGTACACACTCATGAAAGGGAACTTTCAGAACTGCTTCAGAAGCAGCAGGAGCAACTCGACAAGTGTATTTGGAGCAAGAGGGAGTATTTTGAGAGGGATTAATGGCAATGTGTCTTCTATTGTAATAATTTTTAAAAATTATAATTCACTGTAAATTTTGAACACCCTTGCATTGCAGCTTGGTCCTCAGTGTGGTGGTGTGAGGTGGTAAGACCTTCTTTGACATAGGCCACTGAACCACATTTTGGGCCTCTTTAAAGAGAATAAGGAATTTCTGGAGCAAGCCCTTGATAGATCCCATAGGAGAGTTATAAAGCCTCAGCCTGGCCCTTGTGGTTCTCTGGCTTCCTGTTTGGGAAGTGCTTGCTCCTGGGCAATGCATCTCTCCCTGTGCAGGTGCCCTGCTGCAGAACAGCTGACAGGGCCTAGGTGGAGCTGGGCCAGCAGGCACTGGGCCCCAGAGCTCCTGAACCATGAGCTAAATGTGCTACTTCTCTTCCTAAGTCGTCTACCCCAGGTGCCCCTTTACAATGACGACTAAGTGACCAGTACACTTCCCGTCACTGCACAGCACGTCCTCTGCTTACATGGTGCGACCCCACCACCCACTCTGTCCCCAGCAATGCCATCCTCACAGTGGAAGCACTTTGCTCAGGTGGCTGTTATTCCCAGGGGGCCTGTCACATGTCACACCACGCCTCGTTGTAGCACAAGTCTCTCATGGTGTTCTGTTACCCGGCTTTTGGATGAAAGCCCCAGCACCTGTGCTCCCCAAAGATCAGCGTGGGCGTGGAGGAAGAGCACAATGAGGGCAGGAAAGGCGCTGTGTGTGGCCACAGGGAGGAAAGGGTGAGGTCTCAGCTCTGTCTTCAAGGGGCTGACAGGCTCTCGGGGATTTCATAGCGAAGGGAACAAGGGCAGGGTCTGGGAGCTCGGGTGCTTAGCAGGGCAGGCGTGGTCTAGCTGATCGATGGCCCTGGACTGGACTCTGGCGGCTCTGGGAAAGCCATTCTCTGGAGAGGGCCATTTGGTTCCCTCTGTAAGATGACTTGAGTAGCGGTTCCCACTCTGGGTAACTGCTTTGAGCATGGTCTCATCATGAGGTAATGTTCCCTGGGGCTTGCAATTGCTTGGGTAATTTTGGTCCCTGATATTATCAGACCTACCATTCAGTAGAAGAGGCAAAGGGGATCAGAGGGATACAAGACAGGGCACATCAGGTCAGTCATGGGGCCTCCCTTCAGTGCTTCAGTTTCAGATCTTAAGAGTGTTTGAAAGTGAACACACATATGCTCCTTGACCGATCCACTTTAATTCACCGTTTTGTGTTTTAACTTCAATACGCAATTCAGGTGTGAAGTTGGCACCTAAGTGACAGGTACTTGACAAACGGATGCGCCACATGTACTCAGGGACTATTCCTAAATCTCACGCACTGTGTTTGGGTCAGTGGCCTGGCCTGGCGGGGAGGCGAGCTCAGAGCTCAGCGCGCCCGCACAGCGTGTCAGCCCTGTCCTCCAGGCCGCGCTGTGCCTTCCCGGTCAGCTTTGGCACCGGGTGAGTCACAGGTCTCCAGGTTTCCCATGCTACTGCTCTGAGCCCATCCTAAGGGCCTGGAAAACGGTGAGTGAAGGCCACTTTTGCTTTGAAATGTGTTGCCTGCCACCTGCTAGCACCTTTTCTTTATCTAGAGCATATCTTTCCTCAGGAACTCAAGAGCAAACAGCCTGCTTGCAATGCCAGGAGAAAATGAGAAAATCAACCAAATTTAAGGCTGCAGGGAAACTGGAAAGAAAAACTGGACAAAGACAGAGAAAAAAAAAAAATCACACTTTGGAGAACGAGAGTCTACAGGCAGGAGATGCCCCCAGCCAGCACATTTCAGTTGCCCGTGTCACAGTTCCTGTTGCTTCTGTTCCTTCTCTTAGAAACAGCTGGGCACTGTGATCACGATGTATAGACCAATCCCCAATGACAAGCCCTTCTGCCTCGGTGCCTCCTGCTTGTTCATCCCATATAAGCCGAGACCACCAGAGGTCAGGGCCTGGTATTCTGGGGGTGATCCCAATCGATGCCCGTCGATGTAAATCTGCCTCTGAATCCTGGGTGTCATTTTGGTGTTTCTGCTTGCCGTAGCAGTTATACATTTTCATCTGTCTTTTGCGTAACTGCTGAATTAACCAGTATTTTACCGACACCCATCTCGGTCTAAAAGGAAAGTCGCTCTAATTGTCTGAGGGTCATGGTCACACACCATCTGCGTTACGTGGCTGGGGTGCCTTTTGACTTTCGTCTGTTTTGGGTCCAGTGTGTTAGCGGTGTGAAGAGTGGAAGGGAAGAGATGCAGAAGGCCAGGAGAACATTTCATGAGGACAGGTAGGCTCATGGTCTGACTGAGGTGACGGCAGCAGGAGGTATGCACACACGCAACACGTTAGTGTGTGCAGTTAGACACGCAGCTTATCGAAGGCCAATTACACCTCAATAAAGCTGTTTTTCCAAAGCCCACAGCCTGTGCCTAGGCTCTACATTCATTGGCAGTGCCCTGGGCTCCCACGCTGACTATACCCTGAGGAGACCATCAAGTGCCACCATTCTGTCATCTTGGAATCCCAGAAAGGAAGACATGGAAAAACAGGAAGCTCCGTGGTCTGCCAAAGAGGACAATCAAGAATACCTCTTGCAAACCTCCTGGAGAAGCGTGCGTGGGAGGAGCCTGGCTCTTCCTGAGCCCAAAGTTTCCCTCACTGGAGACCTCAGAGTTACTCGTTTCCGTTTGAAAGGGAAGCTGGTGTCTGGCCCAGCTCTCCCACAGGCAGCATGACGGCTGCTGGGTTAGCAGTGCTACCTTACAATTCCACTAGACAGCACTGGCCAGGGAAATTATTTCGGGGGCTCCCAGGTCCCTAGGACTCTGAGCACAAAATCCATTAGGATATTCGGGGGTACAGGGAGGGCATTACTTCAGCCATCCATCCCCAGGGATCCAGATTCCTATTTTATTTTGGCCAGTGCTCCTCTTATGACCTCAACTGAGATATGAAATCACACCTTCAGGGAGGAACTAAGAAAGCCCACCCTCAATCATTTAAGGAGGGAATGAAACTTGAAGCAATAGAAGGACCCTTATCTGATTTACCCTGCAGCTAGAGACAGGCAAAGGGCAGGAAGTTCCTACTACATTTGCCAGCTAGGCAGACGATCTGGACTATTGCTGCAAGTGTCATTCTCGTTTTCCCAGTGGTTACTGTCACTGCACAGCTGCCCTGCAATCCTAGGAACTACTGTTCCCATTACAAGTATAACAGAGAAAGCACAGTGGACTCCTTCCCACAGAACATGGTGCTGGGTTCCACAGCAGCGCTCCACACCACCACAGCGCAGGAAATCAGGCTGGGCGGCACCGCCTCACAGACTCTACTTCCCAAAAGGAGAAGTCTTGAAAATGCATTCCTGGGGGGAAAACACAAAAGAAACCAGCTTTTATACTTTAAAAAGCTACAGCATTAGGCGTAAAGGAAGGGTTTTCCAGTTTTGTGATCTCCTACATCTTTGCTGGGGCAGGGCTGCTACAAAGAGTCCCTGGCCTTCACTTGGTAATCACCAGTGCTGCCAAGACGGCTCGGTGACCTCTGCACTCCATGAAGTGTGCAGGCTGAGTCCCTGCAAACCACAGAGGCCCCAGGAGTGCTCACCTGCATCATAAGACAGCCCAGGGTTCCCTAGCTCTGTCGGCCTGGACGGGTGAGGACTGCGCCTCCCAGCTGGACGGATCTTCGAATTCTCCACAGAGGAAGACGTGGTCGCTGCCTCCTCTCGTGGGGAAAGTTCTATCCACCACCTCAGCATAAAAATGATTTTAAAAAGTCAGCAGAAGCAGACACAGCAGACACAAAAGTGCAGAGCCAAGCTCTCAGGAGCCCACTGTAACCGGCTCCTCCCTCACCGAAGGGTCCCACCCGACGCGTGCCTCCCGCACAAGCCAGCTGACTTCTGGGGGCCGTGGTCTCTTTGGTACCTTACAAAAGCCCACGTGGGACCCAGTGAGACTGCATACGAAAGCCCCTTGCTAGCACCGGGACAGGAGGAACTGCTCGCGGTTACTTCTTATCATCAACACTGCCCAAAGCACTTTCATTTGTCCTCACATCCAGCCTCCTCCTCAATTTCTGAGATAGCAGGGACAATATATGTATTTTAAAAATGACATCAGGCTCGGGGAATTCAACGACGGCCCCAAGCCCTCGGGAGAGAGACCTACCTCCGAATCTGTGCTCTCTCCAGCTCACCTCCCCGGCGGACGGATGGCTGCCCAGTCCTGCGCACGGAGTGGGGCGCACTACCGTTCCGGTAGCTGGGATCTTTTGCTCTGGTCAGTCCTCCTTCGGCCTCCCCTTGCAGGCCCAAGCCTCTCGCGTGTCAGCCATACTCTGAAGCACGACAGTAAGAAAGGCGGGTGAAATCCTCAAACCCAGAAACCGGGAGGGTCCCCAGGGCCACAGCCCCGAGCTGAGCCCCCACCATTAGGAACGGCCCCATCTGAAAATCCTGGACCTCACTCTCCTTCTTGCGCACCTTCCCGGAGCTCAGAGCAGCCGCAGCACAGCTCCACCACTCCTGCCCGGCAGGTCCCTCTCCAGAAGCCCCGCCCAGTCCAGGTGACCCCGCCCTCTCCAGAAGCCCCGCCCGCTCCCGAAGGCCACACCCAGCCAGCGTAGGCCCGCCCTCCCGCGCACGGCCCCCTCTCGGGGGTCCTCCCCACGGCTTCCCCCATCCAGGCTCTCCCCCCGCCCACGGACCCCCCATGGGTCCGGGCTCTCTTCAGGCTTCCCTTCTCGAGGGTCCCCGCGTCCTCAGGAGTCACCCCCGTCGCTCCTGCCTCTTTCCGGGGTGCCCTTCTCCGTCTCCTGCTCCTCCTGGGGTCGCGCCCCGCCCTCCCCCGGTCCCCGCCCCGCCCCGCCGTACCCTGCTCGCCGCGTCCCGGAGCTGAGTTGGCCGAGGCCCGCCCGCACCCGCTCCCTGCGCCCGCTCCTGCCCCGCAGAGGCCGCCTTTCCCGGTAAGGAAGAGCCTCGCGGAGCAGCCGCTTACCTGGCTGCGGACTGCGGCTACCCTGCCACCGCTGCCGACGCAGCCTCTGAACTGCGGGTGGCCCAGCGCGAGGCCACGCCCAACGGCCCTGCCCAAGGCCACGCCCAAGCGCCCAGCGCGAGGCCTCGCCCAACCGCCCAACGGCCCTGCCCAAGGCCACGCCCAACCGCCCAACGGCCCTGCCCAAGGCCACGCCCAAGCGCCCAGCGCGAGGCCACGCCCAACCGCCCAACGGCCCTGCCCAAGGCCACGCCCAAGCGCCCAGCGCGAGGCCACGCCCAACCGCCCAACCGACCAGAGTGAGGCCACGCCCACCGCGGGCACCCAGACAGTCGCTCTCCTCTGCAAAGCCCCGCCCACCTCCAGGCCCGCCCAGACCCCGCCCTCTCTGGGACCGCAGGTTTCTGCTGCTTCTACACCCCACGCCCCTCACCTTAGCCACGCCCACCAGCAAGCGGACTGAGACCCACCGAGTCCTCTTCCGGATCCACCCTTCCGTTGCAGGCCGACTCTACCAACCCTATCAATCGCCACGCCCCGTCCTGTAGGACCCGCCCCTCGCGGACTCGAACCTGCCCGCAGCACCGCGTGGGTCTTGGCTCCCAGGATGCCTGCCCAGCCGCGGGGGTGCTACCTCTTGGTAGCTGGGAAGAAGAGAGAAAGGAGGAGAAAGCGGCTGGCGACCCGATTGGGTCTCCGGGTCCAGGATTCACTGACTTCCACGAGGTCTCACCTCTCGTTTCCATGACCTCCCAATGACGCCATCAAATTATGATCTCACGGTCCCCAGTGAGTTGGGGGTATCTTTCAAAGCCAAGCCACAGCAGCAGTTATGTCTGGGGGCGGGAGAGATGATGCCTCCAATTCTGGACTTTTTGTTCCAGACTGCTTTGGCTCCTTGGGGTGTTTTGTGCTTCCACATAGATTTTAGGGTTATTTTCTCCAGTTCTGTGAGGACTGTCATGGGCATTTTGATGGGGATTGCATTGAATCTGTAAGTTGCTTTGGGTAGTTTGGAATTTTAACAGTACTAATCCTTTCAATCCATGAACATGGAGATCTTTTCCATGTATGTGCATATGTGTCTCCAAATTATTTCATCAGTGTTTCATAATTTTCATTGTATTTTAGGCGTTTCACTTCCTTGGTTATATTTGTTCCTATGGGGCTTTTTTTTTTTTTTTTTTTTTTTTTTAAAGAGTAAAAGAAGGATAACATAGCAATAGGGGGGCTTACCGAATTACAGACAAAGTGGTAGGAAATTATCAATGGTTGTTGTTTTACATATTGTTATCTTCAAAGTGGTTTCTAAAGAAAATAAATAGAGTTATAGATGAGTGACCAACTGAATATTCATTGACTGTTCTCAATGGTTGTTGTAGGAAACACATAGTAATAAACATACATCCATTTACGAAATAGCATAGGAACAATAGGGGCTTTGGTTTTTGTAATGCTTGAATGGCATTACTTTTATTATTTATTTCTTAGTAATCTTAATAGTGCATAAAATGCTACTGATTTTTGCATGTTGATTTTGTATTCTGCAACATTACTGACTTTATCTCTCAGTTCTAACACTCTTTTGGTGGAGTCCTTCAATTTTCTTCATATAGAATCATAGAATCTCCAAACAGGGATAACTTGACTTTCTCCCTTCCTCTTTGTACGCCTTTTATTTCTTTCTCTTGCCTGATTGCTCTGGCTAAAACTTTCAGTATTATATTGAATAAGAGCAGTTTAAGAGTGGACACCTTGGTCTTGTTCCTGATTTAAGAGTAAATGCTTCCAGCTCTTCCCTTGTTTTGTACGATGCTGGCTGTGTTTTTGTCAGACATACCCTTTCTCTACTGAGTTATGGCTGTTTTGGTCGCATGTCTGTTTGTAGACCGGATAATTTTCCTCACTGTATCTTCATGTTACTGACCCTTCACCACCTCCATTCTGCTACTAACTCCATCTGGTGACTTTTTCACCTTAGATGATGTATTTTCAGTTCAGTAATTTTTGTTTGACTTCTTTATATTTCATTTTTCTGTTGAGAATTTCTATCATTTCATTCACTCGAATATTTTAGATTTTTTCTTGATCTTACTATACGTAGATAAAACAGTTTCTATAAGGAGGTTAATAACTGCCTGTTGAGATTGGCATTTGTTAACCTTTTTCTCCACTTTGAGAACTGGTCCCATTTTCCTAGCTGTTTGAACTGTATCCCTGAATATTATCTGTTCTATATTAACTGTTCTAATATTAACTGAATATTATCTGTTCTAGGCTCTGGTTTCAATAACAGCTGTCTGAAGACAGTTGATATTTTCTGTTCTAGAAAATCAGCTAAGCTATGTTCAGACCATGAGCCATGAGTTCTCTCCCACCTTCTGTGGTTATATCAGTGTAAACACACACACGCACACCCCTTCCTGATTAATTTGGAGAATTTCTGTAAGAACTAGTAGTAATTCATAGATTTACCTAGTCATTTATCAGATTAGGAGTCCTTTATTCTTCCAGTGTAACATGTAATAAAAGGAGGAAGATACTCTTTTAGTTTTGCCTGCTCGGATATGCTTTTGTCAGTTCATACCTGACCACCATAGTTCAAAAACTTTCCAGGCTTGCTCATGTTTTTAATTAAATTCCATGTTTAATTTAATCATTCCTCAAGGACACAGAACTGTGTTTCAATCACCAGTGTGAATCACATTCACTAACTTCCTCTCCCTGCCTACATTCTGCTCACCTTTCTGTCTGGGCAGCAAATCACAGACAGAGCATGTTCTTCAGCCTCCCCTACCTGCTCCTCCAGGTGACATTCTTTCCCTCATTGTTCCTTCTGACCACCTAACAGGGACACAACTTAGCAGTTTTTAGTTTTTATCAAAGCTTTTACTGTTTTTTTAATAACAGACAATCTCATGTGGATTTTGAACA